GTGCAGGACTACAGCAGGTTAAAAGGCCACAAGGCTGGCTGTTCTTGCCAAGACTCAGCCATTTTTCTGGAATACTTTTTATTTTTTGAGACAGGGTCTCCCTGTAGCCCCAGCTGGCCTGGAACTCACTATGTAGACCAGGCTGGCCTGGAACTCATAGAGATCTGCCTGCCTCTGTATCCTAAGTGCTGGGATTAAAGGCGTGCACCACCACACCTGGCTATATCCACAATTCTTAAAGTCTGATGATTCTTTTGACAGTTTTATGTATATCTGCTGTTATGACAAACTTGGAATGGTGCCATTTTCCCTGATATTACAGCTCAGAAGAATGTATTAGTGAATTTCAAGTGAAGAGGAAAACTGAAATTATTAAGGAAGAAAATGAAAATTAATTGAGGAAAAAAAAAAACCAAACAAACCCAGAGCAATTAGAGAAAATAGCCTCTGCTTATCAGCCCCTGCTGGCTTAAGAAAACAAATCCTGGTTACCTGGAAAAGCAGCCCTCCTACTGGCTTGAGAGAACAGGTATATAATCTTCACTTTTGTTAACATGCTTTCTCAGTTGGAATTTCAACCTATGGATCATAAAATAATCAGAGGTCCATAGGCTGGAGACCCATGCATGGTTCACAGTCATATAAGCTGAAATGCCATGTGACCCTGACACCCACCAATGTCATAGTGGTTCTGAAATGATGCTAAGTTGGCTATCTATACTGAAAAGGACAGTTGCTGATTGCTCAGGCTTTGGAGATCACTCCCCTGGGCCTACTCCCTGCAGGGTCGGAAATAAAGCTGTGACTTCCCACTGTCCCTGGGTGTCTGATTTGAAAGCCTCAGTACCTGAAACAGTTTTTCCTATTACACAAGTATCCAATATTTAAGCAAAATGAAAAACAATAAAGAAAAATAAGTAGACCCTGAAGAGCCATCAGGTGTACCCATTTCTATCAGGTTCAGAGGGAGAGAAAGAGAAAGAAAAATATACAAATAATGGCCAAAATGGCCACAAAGCTGATGGGAAACATTATGCACATCGAAGAAGCTTAAGGTCTCCAAGCAGGGTACTCAGGAAGCCTTCGCAGACACACTGCATGGTAAGCACCACACCAAAAGAGAGAACACAGGTATGATTTTGCTCAGCCAGTAAGCATCAAGTACCACGATGTGTTAGGTACTTTGCTAGGCACTAAAACTGGGACATCTGCCTTGATAGCGCTTACTTACACTCTGCTGCAGGTAGTGGTGGGGTGCTGTAAAACATGTCATCTTGCTATAAAATACGTATCAAATCTAATTCGATGTATGCTGTGAAGAGATGAAAGAATGAGAAGGGAGAGCTGCGTGATTCTGACCAGGGGAGGTGCACTGAGCAGGGAACACAGTGGAGTAGGTCTGAAGGAGGCGGGAACATGAGCCATGTGCGGAGTGCGGAGAGAAGGCTCAGGCAGAGAGAAATGCATCGTGGTGAGCAGCTCCAGACTGCTGGGGCCATGGTTGAACAGAGTGGGTGCTGGAGAGTGGGGGGCACTGGAAGCAGGGAGGAGGTGAGAGGAGGGAGTAATCTCTCTCCTGATTTGACTCGAACTGGGAACTTTGGGAGGGCTTGAGAAAGCGGGTGGGGGGGGCATGATTCTCCATTTCTGGACTCTGCCTGCTGTGTTGATGTGGGATCCCTGAAGTTCTCAGAGTGACTTGGTGATGTCCAGAGGTGGAGACTTCTGGCCACTACCTGCAGCAGGTATAGTTGCTTATGGTCAGTTCAGATGGGCCATAGGGAAATGGGTCACCTTGTGGCCATTGTCCAGGTAAAGCACAGAAATACAGATGTAATGAATGTGAGATTCAGTGCACTGGGGTCAGAAATGAAGACCTGATGTGGGAGGAGACAGAATGCCTGGAAACCCAGAGAGCTGGGGTGGGCACCCGAGGCTTCTCTCCTGAGCAGGGCAGGGTTCTTAACACCAGAGGCTGAGACACGGAGTGTGCGTGCGTGTGTGCGTGCGTGCGTGTGTGTGTGTGTGTTGTTTCAGAGTGCTGGAGACTGAGCTCAGGGCCTCCCATGCTGGGCAAGAGCTCTACCACTACTTCCTATCCTGGAAGAAAGTTTTATATAGTGAAGCACCAAGATCCAAGCTCCTCTCTGTCCTCTGTTCTCTGTTACTGCCTGCTTGAAAAGACTTAGTAGGCTCACTCTTTACTTCAGGCAGTCTTTCACTGGCCCTTCTGGGGCTGTCAATTTCCTTTTGGTCCTTGCTTGTGGGCACCTCCTGAGAAGCCCAGTCACCCTTGAGAGGACTTTTACAAGACATTCAGCAAAACTCAGCAGGGGTCAAATGAGACTCAGACAGAAGGGGTCACAGCTTAGAGCAGGGAGGTCTGCAGACTGGGTGTGCAAAGCTTCAGGGTCCTTCAGGAGGAATGACAGAAAACTGTCGGTTCAGGATAACAAACACTCAGAGTATAGGAAATTAGAAAGTCATGATCAGGGGCCTACTGCCCAGCCAGACCTACAGCACACGGATGTCAGGGACACTATTTGGGGCCAGTTTTTCCACACAGTAAAGCAGCACGTGAAATATGGTGAACCAGCGGCATGGCCTGGCTGCCCTCCCCATCCCATAGTCCTATATCATGTTACCACTCCCTACTTGCCAACTGCATGGCCAAAAGTCAGTCCAGACTACCGTCATTCTCCTGAACTTTGACCAGTTGGCAAATCATATTTAATTTCATGGCATAAAAACTCTCAGGATCACTGTCTCACTAACTCAAATTTCCAAGTTTAGGGAGAAATATTTGGGCTTTGCTTAGTGACCCAGCCCCACCACCGTCCATTCCAGTCCTAAGAGAATGCAGTCCATATTTCTCTGAACCATCTGTGCATAGCTGCGGGTCAGTGAGTTGGGGCTTTTGTTTGTTTGGATGAAAGTTGTATGCCACCTTGCCCAGCTTCAGTGATTTTTACTGTTAACTTCTGGGTCTTTCTACATAACTCCTAACCCAAAAGTTCATTACCCACAATCCCTACACCAGAATAGAGCAGCAACCCAGATGCGTTCCACTGGCCTTTTATGAAAGAGCTTTTGTTTATGGGCAAAGACCCAAACAGGAAAGAACAAGCTTCTTGAATCCCCACCAACATCACGGAGTAGAAACCACAGTGCAATGCGGTCAGCTCGTCGCCCTGCCCCCCGTCCCCCCTCGGCCTCTCTTGTTTCAAGGCTGCTCCAGTATTTTGGCGACCTTGAATCACACAGAAACTCTGGTGCTTCCTTAGCTTGGAGAATCCTGTCTGTGCTGCTCCCTCTTTGGATGACGAATAAGACATGGTCCTGTAGGTACAGCACTCATAAGAAGGCCCCTCTCCACACAAAGCTCATTCTGTCCTCACATCCCAACTGCTAGGCTCAGTTCTCGACTCAGTTCCCTCTTCCTGAAGGAGAAAAGGCTAGACTCTCCTGAAACCTGGCTCCAGGCACCCCTTGCGTCTATCTGTTCTGGCCTTTTTTTCTCCTTGAAGGAAAAATTCAAACATAGACACTAGTTCTGGATTCAGAGGGAATCAGCATTTATTGAGTAGATTACATCAAACATACAGTTATTACCAAACACTCATGACACCTCACTGCAGTAGCAGTGCCTGGTGCTGTATCAATGGACAGACCAAGTAGGGGGCTCATAGCACCCACAAATCAGGGATCCTAAAATGATGAGAAGTGTTTCTGAGAAACTGATCCAATATTACCAAGATGTACAACTGCATCCATGAATTTGTTCTTTGTACATTATTTGCACATTCCATGTCTCTGTTGTGGGGATCGGGCTAGACCATGGACAGATGTTTAAGTACAGCTCTTCCCCGATCCCACAGACCCATCCTGCAGAGAAACATCCAGACCCTTCAGAGCCTCACAGCTGGAAGTAGACAGTGTCCATACTCAGGGCTGGATCCACATGCAGCTCATACCTGCAATCAGCACTTGGGGCCTATGGCAGGAGGACTGCAAGGAGTTTGAGGCCAGCCTGGGCTACAGTGTGAGGATCTGTCTCAAAATCAATCCAAATCACTGGAAAGAAAGCAAATACCTAGTCCTCCTGCTACTGAACAGTAAGACTCTGATGAGACATGCTTGACAATTTTGAGGGGATGTACCAATGTCTGCCACTGACTGACATGCACAAACAAAAATAGGGTGAGCTGCTGGGTGGAGAGAGCCATGAGCATGTAGCATAAAGTATGAATCGTGCATTCTAGCTGGTCTGTGGGTGCTTGCTGTAAAGTTCCTTGCATGCTTACTCTAGAATTCTTTCAATTTTCCCCCAGTTAGATGCGGGTGGGGTCCTGTAAGACGGCCAGTGACTGAGAGAGCATTCTGGTTGTGGAGAGTGCGCCCAGAGATATCCCCCCCGCCACCGCCCAGTCACTTTGCTCCCCATCTGACCTCCTGTCAACTTAGGTCAGCCCCGGGGGGCAAGAGGCAGGCCCAGGAGGCCGCGGCACTGCAGGACTCAATGAGGCTGTGCAATCCATGGAAAACTAGAGTCTCACAAAAAGTGCTCACTAGGAGACTGAGGTCTTCTGCCTGAGGAAGGCCTAGAATGACTAGGAGCATGTTGCACATATGCAGGGTCCCCCTCCTAACTTTCCCGACCCCTAGGGGTGCGCCCCAGGATGTGCTCTTTAATGAGGCCAGGGTGGTCTTGTCAATCTCAGGCTCTCCCTGGGACAAACCGGCTCAGTCCAGCTTCTCTCCAAGGGTCAGAGGCCCTAGGGCTCCTCTCTGCCAAGCTCAGGAAGGCGGAAGCCCAGCGTGGGAGGAGCAGGAGGAGCTCCCTGTGGCCAGGGCAGAACCAGGGTCAGGGCCAAGGGCAGCCAGGGCTCCGGGATCTCACATGCACTCGCTCCCCCTTTCCCTGGAGGAAACACAGGTTCATCCCCTCCTCCCTGCAGCCCTCCACGACAGACGAGGTTCCTGAAGGACACCCATGGTACCTGTGCAGCCGAGGGCTGGGAAGAGGGCGGTCTGCAGCTGGCAGAGTGAGCTAGGAGGTGGGGCAGGCCTTCTGGGGGTCAGTTCTGGGGAGAAGAGAAGGAGTCTGAAGGAGGAGGGCTCTGAGGAGAGGAGGGTGTGGAGAAGAGGCCAAGGCCTGCCCAATAGGGCATCGGCTCTGAGAGGTCAGGGTCCAGTTCTGCAGGCTGAGTGCCCAGAGCCCTCTGGGACTTGTAGTCCAGCCCAACTGCCCAGCTTCCCCGGACTTGTATTTAGCCTGTGCTCCCAAAGGGGCTTGCAGCGGCCCATGGGTGGGCCTTGGGGACAGGCTGACACAGAGAACTGCAGTGAGAATTTAAAAGTAGCAGAGAGAAGTATTCATCCCATGCACTCAAGGAAACCAGATGAGATTAAGTTATTTCTGGTCAGAGACCTGGAGACA